GTGCTGATTTTGTTTCTTTTACTATATTTGATGATGGTTTGGTTTTTAGATATATTTGCACACTGCCCAGATATCTGTAAGGGTGAAAGCTGAGTTAAAATGTTTCTTTAAAAAAATACAGTTTAAAAATCCGTATGACAGCGTGGCTTCAGTTATATTTGCACACTGCCCAGATATCTGTAAGGGTGAAAGCTGAGTTAAAATGTTTCTTTAAAAAAATACAGTTTAAAAATCCGTATGACAGCGTGGCTTCAGTTTGAACAGAAAACCCATGTGTTGTCCACACCCTCTACTGGTAAGAACCTCATAGGACACACTGCCTCTAAAGACTTCAGGGTTTCTCCTCTACCTAAAGTGCACAGGGTGCTTAAGAAGGGGCTTCTAAGGAGGGATGCTGTACATTCTTATTGCTAATTTTTATATAGTACTTTTAAATTGTTTTAAAATGTTTTAATTCACTGGTTGCCCTTATATGACTAAATGTTTAACTGAGTTTAATACCCAAACGTATTGTATATTTAGCTATTTTGCATGCCACCTTGGGTCTATGTTATTAGGGGAAAGGCAGTACAGAAATAACAAATTATGCAGAAATGGAAAACTGGCATACTTTTACAATGACCTTACTCACTGTCTATACTGGTTTGAAGATACTTACTTAGCAAGAACCCAGAACCATATAGATGTACAGGTGTTCCATTAGGATGATTATATGATCTACTTGTTGCAGAGTTTAGAATATCTGGTTAAAATTCTCTTTTTGATTCACAGCAGAAGTACAGAGACTCACAGAGAATAGCTTCAAGTTCCTCAGATAGTCCACCCCTTTTCTAATTAACTGGCACTTAACAATCTCAATAACACACTCTGAAACATTAGTAATAGAAAGAATAAAAATGTTTCATTACTTGCAGTTGGGAACAGATAACAGCAAACTAAGAAACAACAGGGGACGTGGTGGCGCTGTGGGCTAAACCGCAGAAGCCTGTGCTGCAGGGTCAGAAGACTAAGCAGTCGTAAGATCAAATCCATGTGATGGAGTGAGCGCCCGTCACTAGTCCCAGCTCCTGCCAACCTAGCGGTTCGAAAGCATGCAAATGCAAGTAGATAAATAGGGACCACCTCGGTGGGAAGGTAACAGCATTCCATGTCTAAGTCGCACTGGCCATGTGACCACGGAAGATTGTCTTTGGCCAAAACGCTGGCTCTATGGCTTGGAAACAGGGGTGAGCACCGCCCCCTAGAGTCGAACACGACTGGACAAAAATTGTCAAGGGGAACCTTTACCTGTACCTAAGAAACAACAAATAACTGACTTCAACAGACTTAAGAGAAGGAACGATGACTCTCAGCAGAGATGTGGGTCTCTCTTTGAATTCTGAGCCTGGAAGGTATGATTGATTATTACTGGATAGACAGTCACCCCAATCCAGAAAGCCCCGCCCCAGTGAAACAAACTACAGCCAGCATGTGAGGTTGAAAAACTCCAATATCCCTTCTCAAACTTTCATGCAATCACCCTCTTGATGACCCACCTTGCTTCACGAGTTCTGGAAGCAATCTTTCAGAAGAGGCTTGATCATGATTGTCTACTGTAATTTCTGTGGTGGGACACTAGACTATTTTTATGCTTTTCTCAGTCAGGTGATGTGCCAAATGATACCTCATGTTGATGTATTTGGTGCATGCATTTATCTTTTCATTTAGTGATAGCTTGAGGTATCTCTGGTTGTCTTTCATTATTTGGATTGACATCTGTTAATTTATCCCAAAGTCATTCAGCAGCCATAGTAGTGCTCTGAATGCTTCAGCTGCAGCAATGAATTCAGACTGAGTGCTCTGAATGCTTCAGCTGTAGCAATGAATTCAGACTCCGTGGAAGACAAAGCCACATCTTGTTTGTAACTAGCCACAAAATAGGAGGATAGCCATACATTAACAGGAAAACACTAGTGGACTTATAATCTGTACCCACTGTTGTTAACTTTACATACTGTCTTTTAATGTTGTAAGCCACCTTGGGTTCATTTTAAAGGAGAAAGGCAGGGTTGAAATATTTTCATTAAATAAAATAATAAATACTATTTTCTGCCCAGTCTGCATCAGTGTAACCTACAAGCTTTGGGTTTTACTAGCTACCCATGGTTCCTTTCAAATACCTAGCTACCCTTTTTACAGCTGTTGAATCACTTTGTATTGGTGAATTAACTTTTTTTGCTTAGGATAGAGATTTGCATGAAGTGTCTAGCCAGCTAGTTGCATTGGATTTCTTTTTAAATTAGAATAAAGATTTCTAAGTTTACATCTGCATATATAAATTTAAAAAAACTAGAATATATATATAGCATACTTTTTTTGGACAAATTCTCTATCCTTTTGACAAAGCATTCTGCTTTCTTTTTTTGGACAAATTATCTATCCTTTTGACAAAGCATTCTGCTTTAGTTTGTTTATACAAATACTAGCAAGCTATCCCTTTGCATGTCCCTTGAATCTTCAAGGAAGCTTATGAAACAGCAAAGAGTTCCAGTATGGTGTATTTAAGTATACCGTATTAGATTAGGAGTCAGGAGACCTGGGTTCAAATGCCCACTTAGGCATAGAAATTCACTGGGGGCTCCAATGGAGAATCTTTGAACATCTTACATATCTTGAAATCCTATTAGGGTCATCATAACTCAGAAACAACACATAAAACAGAGCAAAATACAGGATTACTTCAACACCAACACAAGATTTTTTAAAAATTATTCAGCTAATCAAGAATATCAATTCATTCAGATGATGATACATCCCCCTCAGTAGCTCCTAGGGAGAGGATTTATATAACATTTTACATTTTCTCTGCAACCTACATTTGAACCCATAAGCAAGTTCAAACATGTTTATCAGTAATTTTGCCTTTTTCACCAGATTATTCATAAACATGTTCAAATCCAACCATGAACTAAAAAATTGTTGTTTAGTCGTTTAGTCATGTCCGACTCTTCGTGACCCCATAGAGCACGCCAGGCCCTCCAGTCTTCCACTGCCTCCCGGAGTTGGGTCAAATTAATGTTGGTAGCTTCGATGACACTGTACAATCATCTTGTCCTCTGTTGTCCCCTTCTCCTCTTGCCTTCACACTCTCCTAACATCAGGGTCTTTTCCAGGGAGTCTCCTCATGAGATGGCCAAAGTATCGGAGTCTCAGCTTCAGAATCTGTCCTTCCAGTGAGCACTCAGGGTTGATTTCCTTTAGAATTGATAGGTTTGGTCTTCTTGCAGTCCAGGGAACTCTCAAGATTCTCCTCCAGCACCACAGTTCAAAAGCATCAATTCTTCGGCAGTCAGTTTTCTTTATGGTCCAGCTCTCACTTCCATACATCACTACAGGAAAAACCATAGCTTTGACTATTCGGACTTTCATTGGCAAGGTGATGTCTCTGCTTTTTAAGATGCTGTTGAGGTTTGTCATTGCTTTCCTCCCCAGAAGCAGGCGTCTTTTAATTTCGTGGCTGCTGTCACCGTCTGCAGTGATCATGGAGGCCAAGAAACTAAAATCTGTCACTACCTCCATATCTTCCCCTTCTATTTGCCATGAGGTGATGGGACCAGTGGCCATGATCTTGGTTTTTTTCATGCTGACCTTCAGACCGTTTTCTTCACTCTCCTCTTTCACCCTCATTATGAGGTTCTTTAATTCCTCCTCACTTTCTGCATCAATTGTTCCGTATCCAGTTCTAACTGTTGCTTCCTGTCCTGCGTATAGGTTTTTCAGGAGATAGATAAGGTGGTGAGGCACTCCCATTTCTTTAAGTACTTGCCATAGTTTGCTGTGGTCCACACAGTCAAAGGCTTTTGCATAGTCAATGAAGCAGAAGTAGATGTTTTTCTGGAACTCTCTGGTTTTCTCCATAATCCAGTGCATGTTAGCAACTTGGTCTCTAGTTCCTCTGCCCCTTCGAAATCCAGCTTCTGGGAGTTCTCGGTCTACATACTGCTGAAGCCTACCTTGGAGGATTTTGAGCATAACCTTGCTAGCGTGTGAAATGTGTGCAATTGTACGGTAGTTGGAACATTCTTTGGCACTGCCCATCTTTGGGATTGGGATGTAGACTGATCTTTTCCAATCCTCTGGCCACTGTTGAGTTTTCCAAACTTGCTGGTATATTGAATGTAGCACCTTAACAGCATCATCTTTTAAGATTTTAAATAGTTCACCTAGAATGCGATCACTTCCACTGGCCTCCATCACCTCCACTGGTGATTTATGCAAATAGGTTGCATAAAAAGGATATGTCATAGAAATCCCCTCCCTGCCCAAACACACAGGAGTGCCTTGTGCTGTCTTTACAAAATACTGTACATTTGTATTGGGGTTCCGTTAGAGAAGGGTGACTTGCACTGACTTTCGGTTTGATAATTACTATGCTTCCGAAAACTTTCGGTCGGCAGATGAAATACAATCCTTTTCCCCCAAACGTCCCATTTAGTTCAATGGAATATACTTTCGAATGGCCTTTGAAGACGACTACGAAAAACGTGGTCATCTCCTTGAAATCCTGCCTTTCTCTCATTACTTGTATAGGGTCCGATCTCAACTCGATGAACACACGCCGAAAGTACACACTTTCCTTGTGATCAGCATTGCAAAGCAAGCAGGCTCTGGGATTATTTTTATTTTTTTGTGGTTTGGCAATAAAGAATCCTCATCTTTCAATGTTCATTGCATGAAAGACTGTCTGCATTCTCTGTACTTTTGTGGAGAGCTTGTAGTTCACCGATGAATTGCGAATCTGTGTGTGTGTGTGTGTGTGTGTGTGTGTGTGAGAGAGAGAGAGAGAGAGAGAGAGAGAGAGAGAGGTTTTTGAAGCGTCAGTCAAAAGCTGCAGCCCGCATGGATCGAAGGCTTGCCATCGCATTGACGGATAGATCTCTAGCTCGGCTGTCGACTTGCTACTCCTGTTCCTCCCCTTTCCGCTTTGGAGTCTCCTCTCCAATCAGTGAATCGGCGCTCGATTCCTCGCCGCTAAGGTTCGAGCGGCGGGGAGAGAGTCAAGATGGCGGACAAGGCGCCAGGCGGTTCGCAGAAGGCCAGTGGGAAGGTGAGGGCCGCTTTGTGGGGTCAAGTGAGCCGCCCTGCGGCTCTGAGAAGCCGGGGGGAGTCCGGAAAGGAAGCCTTAGTAGCCGCTTGCAAACGGACTGGTGGGAAAGCCGGGCTTGGAGAACTACGCTGCGTAGGGGGATGTGGTGCGCAGGTAGGCGAGCAAACCAGCCCGCGGGCTGGATTTGCGGCCTAGTCTCGCCTCCTTTTCCTTCCGTCCCCGCCGATGGAAGTGCTTGGAGGCGGCTGGATGGGGAAATTGGACGTACCGAGCGCCTTCCAAATTAAAAGGGGTCGAATGGTCTCAGTTTTAGTAAAGAATTAATTGTTGGATTTTTTTCCTCCGAGAAAGACGGGGGAAATAAGTCGTGCTCTCTCTCTCTTCCCCCTTTGGTTTGCTCGAATTTCCGGTCGCCGGGGTTTGGGGCGAAGAGGCTTCCCTAATGGCAGGTTTAGTGGTGCTGCCCCTGTTTCTGGAGTTTATACCTCGGTGTGGACTTATTCCCCACCCCTGGTTTCACTCCTCCTTGGCCTCTGAGGTAGCCTGGGAAGTCATGTCCCTGCCTAATAGCATCCTATATACCCGTGTGCGCTCCTTTTGTTTATAATATTCAATTGATGTTTCCCTTCTTTATTTTATCAGTGTATATCTTTCTGCCAATGGCGATTCATGGCCGCTAGTAATACTCAAATATGGTACAATAATTAGACGTAGCAGACATGGACCTGCAAAAAGCATGCATTTCCTAAAAAATTAGCTGTTTTGGGAGCCGTTCCGTGATTTTTTTTAAAAAATTACACAACCAGGTGACATTTTATGAGGAAAAAGTATATTTTGCCATCTGTACTGAGTGAAAATCATGATCGTCTGGCTTTTCATTATATGTATGCATCACAAAATAGTAGTTTGCACATTAATGGTGTACAAAGTTTTTTTTTTTTGTAAATGAAGGGATTTACGTAGGAAATAAACTTGACTGTAGTGACAAGTTTAAAGTAATGCCAGACCACCGTTTATCATTGCCTGTATTGGTTATGTTTCAGGATTCCATTGACTGAGCCATGTTCAAAAGTCTTAAGTAGTATTTTTTAAGCTTTTACATTTAAATTCTGAAATTGGATTTTTAAAAAATAATTTAAATCAAAAGTGATATTTTTAATCTAAATCAATTTGCTTTTTTAAAAAACATTGATTTTTATTCACCCTATTTTATATGTTGTAAATATATACTGTATTATATATAACATTTGCCTTCACATTGCTTCCAACTTCCAACTACCCTATGCATTAATAACTATCAAGTGATACTATATTTCAGAGCCCAGCTCAGGTCTTGCAATCTAGCTTGCTTTATAGATTCAATCCACATAATTTTAGATCACCTTTTCTCTCTTACTATTTTCTGCTTTCCACAGCATGATTGCATTTTCCTGAGTCTTGTCCTCTCAGGATCCATGCAGAGTGTGATAGGCTCAGTTTAAATAGTTTTGCTTTTACCGTGTATTTAGGCTTGATTTGATTTAGGACCTGTACATTTGTCATAGTATCAACATAGTGCATAGTATCAACAATGCCCTCTTAACAACACCATGTTTTAGATGAATCATTTATGTCCTGTCACCTAGTTTCATTAACCAACTTTTAGCTCCATACACAGCAGTTCGGAATACTATAGTACATGTTTGTTTGTTTGTTTGTATCCCGCCCATCTGGTCTATGCGACCACTCTTATCACCATATGATCTTGACCTTGATTTCCAGCAAGAATCCTTTCTTGTTCCTTCATAACTACCATTCTAGGCCTCATTTTTCTTTGATTTCTCGGGTGCAGTCACTATTTGAATTGATGATTGAATCAAAATAAAGAAAATATTTGACATGCCAGTTTCTTCATTGTCAGTGTTACAGTTATGAAATTCTTCCTTGATAAATATTTTTCTATTCTAAACTGTAATCCTGCTTTTGCATTTTTTCTTTCACCTTCAGTAGCCATGGCAAATCATTGTTTATTTTCTGCCAGTTATATGGTATTATCTGTGTATTTTACATTGTTGATGTTTCTTTTTCCAATTTCACTTTTTATATGACTGTATGTAGTACAGTTTTTTGTATGATTTTTTTGCATATGAATTGAACAGATAGGAAGATAAAATGCACTGTCATCTGATACTAGTGTTATGTCGAAACCAGTGGCCCGCATTCTGTTGCTTAGCATAGTACTGTAAATCCCACTAAAGTTGACCCATTGTATCAATGGAGATCTAATGTTATTTCCTTAGTAAGTTCCATCTATTCAAATAGGCCTACTGTAACTGGAATCTACTGTGCAAAAAAAAAAAAAAAATCACATTTTTCATTTTCTCCTTCCAGTTATTTAATTTATTTGATTTCTGTATTGGCCACCAGGTGAAATCCATGTGTATTGTCGTTTGTTCACTTGCCTGAAGTATGTATTTGCAATAAACAAATTGTTGGCTTCAAAAAACTTACAAGTCACTTGTCAGCTTAATTTCTAACTCTTAAGCCAAATTCTCCAAAAATGTTTGTTTTGTTCTCTTTCTTTGGTATCCCAGTCAACTGTAAATATCTGCAAATCCTGTTTTGACATATAATAAGTTTTCTTCTAGATACTTGCGTAAAAGCTTTCAATTTCTTTATTTTCAGCATTAGTAGTAAGAGTGATTGACAAAAAATGAATGATAATTAAGTTGACAGGGTTTTTATGAAGTGTGATTAACATTGTTTGATCATTGTTAGCCCCTATCTGCTTGTGCTATATTTCAACTCACTGTTATAGCCACACTGTTTCTTTTGAGTTTGTCATTTCCAGAGTAAATTACCTTATCAGTATCTAATTCACAATGTCCGGTTCCCATCCCCTTTAGTTTGTTTACCCTATCACAATACAGTAGTACCTCGGTTTATGAAATTAATGTGTTCTACGGGATGTTATGCAAAGCGAAAAATTTGTAAACTGAAATATGGATTGCCATAGGAACGGAGCTGGTGCTACAAACCTCCAAGCATAATGCATCCTGGGGAAACTTTCTTCGTACTCTGAAAAAAAACCAACAATGGAAAAAACCGTAACCCAGGGCATTATTTTCCATGGATTTTGCTTCGTAAACCGAAAATTATGTGAACCGAGGCGTTCATAAACTGAAGTACCACTGTATTTAAATGTTCTATTTCTTGTTTTATGTTTTTAAGTTTCTCTTGAGTCATATTTTTGTGTTTGTTATACCTGTTGTCAGTGTTCCAGCTAAGGTTCTGTCCTGCTTTGTGGAAGCCTTGCTCCATGTGTGCAGTGGTGGGTGGGACTTCATTTGAAATGGGAAGTAAACAAACTGGCTGCCAGCTGCCCATGCGCAAACCCAGTGGAGCTGTGGGCAAGCGTCTGCCTGTGCGGCTTAGAGGGACATTGACTGTTGTACATCACTGGACTTTCTTTTTGCTTCTATCCACATCAGTAGCCGGATATCTTTTCTGCTCTAACTTAATTGTTTTATTAATTGTTCATACTTGTCCTGTCCTCTTCCACAGTAGCTAACTGAGTGCCTTCTGACCTGGAAGTCCTTTTTCTAGTATTGCTACGGTGGTGCCTCACTAGACAGTTACCCCGCATGACAGTTTTTTCGCTAGACATTCGCTTTTTGCCATCGCTATAGCGATTTGCGAAACAGTGATTCCTATGGGGGAATTTCACTGGACAATGTTTGGTCTCTGCTTCGCAAACCGTTTTTCGCTAGACGATTTTGACAGCTCCCTCTTCGCTCGCAAACAGGACAGCGATTTAAACAGCTGATTGGCGCTTCGCAAAGCGGCTTTCCTATGGGCGATCTTCGCTAGACAATGACAATTCTTCCCCATTGGAATGCATTAAACAGGTTTCAATGCATTCCAATGGGGAAATGCTTTTCGCTAGACATTGATTTCGCTAAACAGCGATTTCAGTGAAACGGATTATCATCATCTAGCGAGGCACCACTGTACTTGTTTCATTTTGGGGTTTCCCACTGTAAGAGTTTTAATGTCATGAGATACTCAGAAGTGGTTTATCATTGTCTTCTCCTGAATACTAAGAGAGGTTTGCTTGAGTATTGCTGCTGTTGTCTGTGAAAGAACCTCTTTCAATGTAGTCTTCCAGTGTTGCTCCTGGCCACTAGTTGCCCTTCAAAAATTTCTCTACTCCCATCAGCATTGGAGCCATTAATTCTCCTACCGGTGTGACCATCAATTCCTGAAAAGAATGAATGATTCATGATCAGGTGTCTCAGCTTTGACCATTATGACTGCTAGGAGTATAGACTCAGCACATTAAAGTGTGTGCTTGGAGGTATATTGAAGATGGAATTTATAGTTTCCTGGATTTGCTACTTTATTTGTATACTTTATTTGGAATATCGGATTCCAAAAGATCTCCTGTATGGAGAATTAGTGCAGGGAAATCGCCCGAGAGGGAGACCACAGCTGTGATACAAGGATATCTGCAAGCAGGATCTGAAGGCCTTGGGAATGTACCTCAACAGATGGGAAACCCTGGCATTGGAGCATTCAGCATGGAGGCAGGCAGTGCAACAGGGCCTCTACCAATTTGAAGAGACCCTTCTCCAGCAGGTTGAGGCAAAGAATCATTCCCAGAAGCAACAAAATCAGGGAGCTGGACAGGGGACAGATTGTATTTGTCTTCAGTGTGGAAGGGATTGTCACTCTCGAATTAGCCTTCTCAGCCACACTAGACGCTGTTCCAAGTCATCCATACAGAACACATTACCATAGTCTCTTGAGACTGAAGGATGCCTCTCTTGTATCCCGGAAACGAAGCAATTCAAATTCTGTGCTATGGTAGTTATGCCATTTGGTTGTTTACCTACAAGTACTTGAGTTTAGTTTTATACATGTGTATCTGTGTCAGCACAACATCCTAGTCTTTTTTGGGGGGGATTGTGGATGAGTCTCATTTGCTTATTCTTGCCCTTTCATCTCAGGGAAGTGTGTAT